CGACAGGGATGAAGGTCAAATCCTGGCCCCACCACTTCTATTTGTTTGACCTTGGATAAGTGATTTGGAGTCCCTCGGTGGCACAAAAGGTTAAGTGCTTGGCTATTAACTGAAAGGTTGGCAGTTCGAACACACTCAGAGACACCTTGGAAGAAAGTCCTGGCAGTTTACTTCTGAACGATCACAGCTGTTGAAAGCCCTATGGAGCATCGCTCTACTCTGACATATATGGGGTCACCAAGAGTTGGAATCAACTTGATGGCAACTAGTTTGTTTGTCTTTTGGTTTTGGCCAAGTTATTTAACTTCTGTACACCTTGATTTCTTCATCTATAAAATGAAAATAATAGTATGTAATTCATAAAATGCTGGGAAAATTAAAAGAAATAATGGGTGTCAAGACTTTTCACAGTGCCTGGCACATGACGGGTGTTCAGTCAATGTTAGCAATCATCATTATCATCAACACCATTGTTATAAGATTATAAATTTCAGACTCTAGTCCAAGAGGGCTGGGGTGATCAGGGCCCAATGATTTAATAACTCTGATCTCACACCATGTAGACATCTTCCTACTTTGCTGAAGGATAAAAATGCATTGCTGTTGAGTCTATTCTGACTCATAGTGACCTACAGGACAGAGTAGAGCTGCCCTATAGGGTTTCCGAGGAGCAGGTGGTGGATTCATACTGCTGGCCTTTTGGATAGCAGCCATAGCTCTTAACCACTGTGTCACCAGGGTTCCTTTGCTTAAGGATGAGCCAGTTCTAAAGCTCAATGCTTCTCAAACTCACCTGGGCATCTTGTTTATATTCAGATTCTGATTCAGCATGTCTGAGGTGGGGTCTGAGATTCTGCATTTATCACAAGAGATATTCATGCTGCTGGTTCTTGGACCACACTTACAGTAGCAAGGCTTTAGAAAAACTCTAGAAGAGGTCATCACATTTTGGACCACAGAAGAAATTAATGTAAAGCTTTGGGTTGATCCTAAAGTTTTTGGAGCTAATATTCATCAGAATTTTTAAAAAATGTCTAAAGTAGGCAGAATTTTAAGATGACCCCCACTGACCCATGTCCTTGTATAATCCCCTCCTCTTGAGTGCTGAGCACCTGTGAATATGTTGGGGTATCATTCCCATGATTAGGTAACCTCATCTGGCAAAGATGAAGGAATTTGGCAGATGCAATTGAGGTCCCCAATCAGTTGACTTCAAGTTAATAAAAAGGAAGATTATTCTGGCTAGGTCTAACATATTCAGGTAAGCACTTCAAAAGTGTTGGTGAAGAATATTGAGTATACCATGGACTGCCAGAAGAATGAACAAATCTGTTTTGGAAGAAGTATAATCAGAGTACTGCTTGGAAGCGAGCATGGGGGGACTTTATCTCACGCACTTTGGACATGTTATTAGCAGGGACCACTCCCTGGAGAAGGACATCATGCTTGGTAAAGTAGAGGGTCAGCGAGAAAGAGGAAGACCCTCAACAAGATGGATTGACACAGTGGCCACAATGATGGACTCAAGCATAGCAAAGATTGTGAGGATAGTGCCACACTGGGCAGTGTTTCATTCTGTTGTATGGATTCAACGGCACCTAGCAACAAGACCTTTAAAAGAGGCTCAGAGTCAACACACTAGAGAGATTCAAAGCAGCATCAGATGCTGTCTTGTTGGACTTGAAGGAACAAACTGCTATGTTGTGGAGAAGCCCATGTGGCAGCAGACAGCGAGTAGCCTTTAGGAGCCGAGACCAGCCTCTGGATGACAGCCAGCAAGAAAGCAGGACTCTGAGTTCCAGGAAGGAATGTATCCCAACCCAGATCTTGCAAGACCCTGAGCAGGGCCCAAACATCCGATCTACAGATCTGTGAGCTAATGAATGGGTATTGTTTCAAGTCTCTAAGTTTGTGGTCATTTGTTACACAGCAATAGAAAGCTAATACGATGTCCTAATCCTTCTCCATTGCTGTGTGTACCAGTCCTAGTTATACTATAGAAATAACTTAAAAAAAAATCTCGTAACTTAACACAACATAAGTTCATTTCTCACCCATGCTACATAATCACCATTGCTCAGCTTGGTCAGACTGGGATGACTCATCATAGTCACTCAAGAAACCAGGCCAGTTTCAAAACAGAATTTACAAGTATCATCTACTGGATTCTCATTGTTTTGCTATGAGTCTGAGGGTTCGAGGAATTATTCTTATTTAACCAAAGGAGAAACTGTTGCAGCAGGAACAAGTGAATGGAGCAGTAGATGTGTCTTGACCATCCTATGATGCTGCTGTATACCAACAAGGGTTCTGGGGTCACCATGGCAGGAGAAGAGAGGGCTAGAGAGTAGAGCACCAGCAATTAAACTCTTTGGCCTGGAAGTGACATATGTTCTTTCTGCTCACTTTTCATTGGCTGTACCTTGTCACCATGGTCATTCCTAACTTTAAGGGTGCAGAGATGTGAAATCCTGTGTGTACTCCAAAGTACAAAAGAACCAGATATTGGTATATCTACCACATTGTGGTCATATCAGTTGGAGTGGTGGGGAAAGGAAGTAGGATTTTAGATGGCCAAGTTCACGGAGCTGTTCTCACCACAGGGAATAAACTGGTCTAGCATCTGCAAGCCAAGAGAAGCCAGAGGGGGTGAGTGTGCAAATGGAACACTTGCCCACAGTCCCAGCGTAGAGCAAAGGGTTTCTTGGGGGACTTTCTGGATCTATGGCAAACCCGGTAAGCCTGGGTTGTTTTCAGGCTGAAAGCTGGGCTTTCTTGTGATGAGGGATTTCTCAATATGTTAGTATAGATAACAATGTCTTGGGTTAGAATGAGTTTCACTCATTTTTTCAGGTCGACTTTTATCCGCTCTCATGGATACTCTGGACACAGGACTCAGTAAAGCTGCTGTCCTTTGTGACCCCAGAGAAGGACTCATTCTAGGTGGGCACATCTTCCAGAGAGCAGAAGATGATCTTTCAAAGCATAAAAAGAAAATCCCATCTGTTTTTAAATTTGGAAGGAAATATTTCTAAACTTTATGTACATGGTGAAAATTTATATTCACTACAAACCTATGCCAAAAAAAAAGTATTTTTAATAACTTTTCTAATAAGAATCTCATTTGTCTCCCGAGGTCCCATCTCACTAGGAAAGGTGAATTAAACTGCCAATACACATTATCTCCATCTTGGTGGGGTTAAATCCTCCTCTCCTAGATTTATTCAAGCTCTCCTGGGTAGATGCTCAGTCTTTCAGAGTTTCTCACAAAGCCCCTTCTTTGAGCCAGGAAGGAATCTGAGACTAACAGGAAGATGAAGCATTGCAGGGAATTGTGGGGAGAGTAACTAATTAACACTTGCTGACCTGGGGGTCTTCAATGGCTCCCATGGAGGTATCTTGGACCTGTCTGGTCACTGGGTGTTCTGCTGAATCTACTACTGAGGTTTGTGGTTGGGAAAATCCATGGTCTGGTCCTTCAGCTGAGTCAGAGTCAGAGCTATTACTGACTTGGCCCAACTGTACCTCTCAGGCTTCACAGGTCTTCTGAGTCTTGGCCATGGCCTTGTTTCTCCCCAGCTTAGACTGTCTAACTGTGGATGTGATATTCAAAATATTTAACAACAAGTAGGGCACAAGCACCAACCAATCAGAGCACATGCTGCAGCACTTGTTGCTGGACCATCGGGAAGTCTGGGGGATTTTAGGGGAGCACTGAGACACCTGAGGTAGCTGAGTGCAGTGTTCAGGGGCTTACCCACCAGTAAGGAAGTGTTTCCATAGTTGGCCACACTGCTCTTTGCTGACTGACCATCCTTTAGCCTGGGCTCTAGGTCTCCTTGCCCTTCATCATGGCAGCCCCATGGCAGCCCAGATCTCAGCTTTCCCCTACCCCCTACTGGAAGTATAGGGGACTGATTGGATCCCTTCCCTCTCTGTTAAGAACTGAGACAAGCAAGGACGTGATTGATGTAATTGATATCACTAAACTGTACACCTGAATAATATTGAATTGGCAAACGTTGTGTCATATCTATTTTTACAACAATAAAAACAAAACCAAACAAAAAAAACTGAGGCAAGCAGGGAAGTAACCCTAGCATCCCTTCTACCTAAGCATGCCACACCTTTCTTTCCATTCTTTTGTAGCTTCCCCATTTTGGTAAGCACTCTTTGCAAGGTGGGACCCCTCTAGAAACCCAATTTGGAAGCAGAGCAAAAGTTTTGAACCCAGAATAAGGGGGAGGAGTGTCTACCTGCTTCCTCTTTCAACTTCCCTCCTTTCACCCAGGAACCCAAAGGGCCTTTTTCTTCTACTTCCTCTTCCAACCAAGAAGGAACTTCCTCTATGCCTTTTCCACTTCTCTCCTTTCTGAAGAGGCCTTTGTTCTTCCCCTTTCCTGGGGCTATAGTGGCAGAAGCATCACATTACAAGAAGGGAAACACACTGGGAGACAATGAAAATATTATCCTCATTGCATATACTGTGCATTGTCCTATGCTAGAAAAAGAGGATTCTGAACAAAATTTAAACTTTTCTTTATGACTCAGGGTAATCACTAGGAACATCTACTATTTTGTGCTTTAACATCAACATATCCTCAATAGAGCACAGTGAGGTGGAGAGGACCATTTATGTGTGGTCTTAAAGGCCCAGATGGCTGTACGCTTTGGTTCTCATGTCTGTTTTAGTGGTTTTGCTGTCTCTTCCTTTGTTATTGCTTGTTATGAATTGAATTGTGTTCCCCCAAAATATGTGTTGTAATATATAAAAAGAGATTAAACAAGCAAGCGAGAGAAGCAGAGATGTGGGAAGAGAGATGCAAAGCCACATGAAGATCGCCCAGGAGCAGAAGCTCAAAGAGGCAAGGACCTTCCTCCAAGCCGACAGAGAGAGAAAGCCTTCTCCTAGAGCTGGCACTCTGAATTCAGACTTCTAGCCTCCTAAACTATGAGAAAATAAACTTCTGTTTGTTAAAGCCACCCACTTGTGGTATTTCTGTTATAGCAGCACTAGATAACTGAGACACTGGGCAATCAGTTGACACGTCTTTCTGTATATTTTCTTCCAGAGTCCTCTCCTTTCTAATTTGTTATCTCTAACCCACTTTAGATTGAGGATTCTGGTTGTCTATTGCTATGTAGCAAGCTTCCCCAAAACTTAGTGACTTAAAATAACAACCATTTTATTATAACTCACAAATTTCGTAGGTCAGGAATTTGAGAAGGGCTCAGCTAGGTGATTCTTCTACTTCATGTGGTTTGATATAGTTCTGACAGTGGTACTTAGCTGGTGAATGGACTGATCTGGAGAGTCTAAGATGGTGGCATTCATGTGACTGGCACCATTGAGGGGATTCCTGGAAGGCTAGGCATAGCTGGGACTGTTAACAACAGCCCTTACACATGGCCTCCTTAGCAAGGTGGTCTCAGCATAGTTGGACTGTTTACATGCTGGCTGACTTTCCACAGAGCAAGTATCCCAAGAAAATCAGGTGGAAGCTGCATGACTTTTTCTGACTTGGCCCCAGAAGTCACACAACATCACTCCTGCTGCATTCTATTGGTTACATGAGAGTCACAAGGCCAGCCCAGATGCAAGGGAGGTGAATTGGACTCCACCTCTTGATGGCAAAGTGGTATAGTCATATTGTAAAAGACCATGTGGGATGGAGGATATTGTCATGGCTATCTTTGGAAAATACAGCCTGCCACTCTGAGAAACAAATAGCCACGCTCCTACTGATAAAGAGAAAAACGGTTCTAAACGAGGGCTTGAGATCTTCTTCTGTGAGTAAAAAATATACGCTTTTGTGCCGGGATCCTATGGCTATTTTTCAGCTCTTCAGATCTTTTTGCCCTTGTTTCTTCTGTCTGAGTTATGTTTTAGATGGACAAGTTTTCTGGATGACTGATTATTCAGATATTTGAAGTACTTGCTATACTCATATTAGAAGAGAAATTTGGAGAATGAAAGCATCACTTGGTTTAAAACGTGTGCGTCTGCTCACAACCAACCCCTGTCCCATGCCAGCACAGACCATCCAGTTACTAATTCACACTACCCAGTGAATGTCCCGGTAGAGCTAGAACTCCAATACCCAGGAGAATTCAGAAGTCCTGAGTTTTGGCTCTGCCATTTGCTGGCTATGGGACCTTAAGCAAGTGAGTTGACCCAGTTCAGTGGTTGTCTGATGAAGTCCCCTGACTTGATGCTTTACAATTTGAAACAGTATCCAGGACCGAAGCCTAAGCTCAAATCCAGATTGACTTAGAATCCTAGGGTTTTACACTTGGGAGGGACATGGTTGCTCTCACCAGCCTAACCCTTGCATTTTAGAGATGAAGAAACTGTAACCAGATTGATTAAATGGCTTGCCTAAGATCACATAGCTAGTTAATGGTAGAGTGAAGACGAACCCAACTTCAATCTCCAGTTCCATGTGCTTAAAGACTCTACCACCAAGATGTCAATCTGAGTGAAAGCATTGGCAACCTTAGAATGTATGTGTGCATTTATGATTGTGTATTTATATTTTAAACACATTTCCATAATACGGATTTATGCGCAAGCGTTTGTTGATACCATTATATAAAGTTGCACATAGAGTAACTGTTGTTAGCGAAGTTACTGACTAAGCCACTAAAAAGTTTTCAGGCTGTGGGATGGACCTGTAGCAAGAATCAGGCAGAATGCAAAGAGAGTGGAAGATCTGACTTCTTATTTAGGTTCTGCCCACTGTGTGATCTTGAGCAAGTTACTTACCTCTCTGAGTTTCTGGTTCTGCTTCTGTGAAACGCTGACAAGAGCCACCCTTGTTGAGTGCTTTCTCTTTGCGAACACAGTTCTAACCTTTTCGTATTGTATATCATCTAATCCCACTTTGATGCCAATCAGGTGATATTCATTTTAGCTCCAGATGAGAAGATTGAGCCTCATAGAGGTAGGGTAACCTGCCACAACCATCCAGCCGGCAAGGAAGAAAGGCAGGATTCACATTCAGTCTGTCAGACTCTCAAGTCCATATGCTTTCCTCTCTTCTCCTCTGTACATACTTCCCTAGCTCACAAACCTTTTGGAAGGTCCTGACATTCTTCTTCTGAGCTGCCCCAGAGGGTAGAATCTGACCAATGGGTGGAGGTTAGAGGGAGGCAAAAGTGGGCTCGAATGACAGAGAAATTTTTGATCTTGGGACTTTTCCAAGACTGGAGGCATCCATCAAGCGAAGTGCTGAGCTTGGTCGTCTATGGGGAATTCCGGATTTGGGGTGTACTGTTTGAGTAGGCATCTGAACTTAATGCCTTCTGAAACCCCCTTTAGCTCCACTTTTTTTTTTTAAATTGTGCTTTAGATGAAGATTTACAGAGAGAATTAGTTTCTTATTAAACAATTAATACCCATATTATTTTGTGACATTGGTTGCCAACCCTACGATGTGTCAACACTCTCCCCTTCTCGAACTTGGGTTCCCCATTTCCACTCATCCAGCTTTCCTCTCCTCTCCTGTCTTCTCATCCTTGCCCCTGGGCTGGTGTGCCCATTTAGTCTCGTATACATGGTTGATCTAGCTCCAGGTTTTGATGTTTCTACAGAGCAAAGAAAGAGTACCAAGACTGAGGATCGTGTAGGCTTGTGTTTATATCCTACGTTATCATCTCATTAGCTCTGTGGCCTTGGGCAAGTTACTTAACGTATCTGAGTCTGTCTCTATTGCTTCATGTTTATAATGGGGATGATGTAGTCTACCAGCCTCACGAGCTTTGTCCTCTGAGTGGTACAGACCAGGGAACCCGTCTTACACAAGTGTCACGATGGGAGTGTTTGAAGCCTGGTTGATTCACACTGTAAGTGCACGGGGCCTCACAGATAGTTTCCTCATCAGTCACTTTGCAGGAGGATGTTGACTATTCTGGGGCTAAGGGAATAGTCTCGTAAGGTGTCAGCCTGTGGGAGAACTTGTTGCCTGACATAGGCGGAAGGGGAAGGAAACCTCTCTCAGCTGATGACCCAGCCTCCTGGGGGCTCGCAATGACTCAGCCTTACTGGGAGTGGAAATTGTGAATAGAATATTTGAATGAATGGGAAGATGAATTGCTTTATTGAAGTGTCTCTTAGTCAGTGATTCTTGGGACAGAAGATGATCAAGTTCAAATATTTGATGGGGAAAGAGTGGATTTAGTGAAAAGGGTTTTTTGTTGGCAAAAAGTGATATATAAAGAGAGTGTGTAGCCCTTGGTGGAGCCACATTTTAGTCTCTTTAGGTTTGCCCCTCTGAGATTCAACCCAACGTGGCCCAGAGCCATGGCCTTCCAGTAAACAGATCCATTTTCCTGGCCCCACCAGGGAGTGAGGAACTGGTATAAAGAACATCAAAAAAAAAAAAAAAAAAAAAAATTGTCATAGAGTCAATTCCAAGTCATGGCAGTCCCATGTGTTACAGAGTACAACTGAGGTCCATAGGGTTTTCTTGGCTGTAATCTTTATGGAAACAGATTGCAAGGCCTTTCTTCCATGGTATTGCTGGGTGGGTTTGCGTCACCAATCTTTAGGTTAGTAGTAGAGCACAAAGCACTTGCACTACTCAGGAACCTTGTAAAGGACACCACGGGGCTGTAATTCCAACGTGGCCAAGCAGATCAGAAGCAATTCCACTATGCTGCTTGGAGACTGAATTCTCTTAATTCTGGAAAAAAATAAAATTAGTTTTTCTCTTTTCTGTAGAACAAATATAATCTGTGGACAACCATCAGTGCTTCTGCTTTGAGCCAGAATATTTTCCACAAAAGCTGCCTCAGACATGGTCATATATCTGCACCTTGACGATCTTCTCTACCCCCTAAACTCTTAAAATTCTGTGCTTCCAGAGGCTTAGTTCAAAAATACTTTTTATATTAGTTCAGCTTTGACTTTAAAAAAAATTTCCAATACTAATTTTGATATAAATGTTTATTTTCCCATGGGTTTGAGAAGAGTTTTATACCATGCACATGAAGCAATATGCTTGGACTTTTAGGAATTTATTTTCCAAACCGAGGATGAGTAAATTATATGTGTATGGCATGATAGCTATTTGACTTTGTTAATATTCAAAACCTGCCAGCTTGTTTTTATTTTCTGGAGGCGTGTGCCACTTGACTCAGAGAGATTGGACAGTTGCTTAAAAACTCCTTGGAATGAAGTGAGTGCAGACATAAAGAAAAATCGATCTTTTGGGTAAATTAAGTATGTTGTTTATTATTAGGTGCTGTCTAGTCGTATATATATATATGGAGCCCTGGTAGCGTAGTGGTTCAAGAGTTTGGCTGTACACTCAAAGGTCAGCTGTTTGAATCCACCAGCCACTCCTTGGAAACCCGATAGAGCAGCTGTAGTCTCTCCTATAGGGTCGCTATGAGGTGGAATCTACTCGATGGCAATGGGTTTGGTTTGGTTTTATATATACATATATAGATGTAGTTATTGTTGTCGTTGTTAGTGTTGTCAAGTCATTTGTAACTCATTGCAACCTTATGTACAACAGAACGAAACACTGCCCGGTCCTGTGCCATCCTCACAATAATTGCTGTGTTTGAGTCCATTGTTGTAGCCCTGTGTCAATCTATCTCATTGAGGGTCTTCCTCTTTTTTCACTGACTCTCTATTTTACCAAGCATGACGTCCTTCTCCAGGAACTGGTCCCTCCTCATAACATGTCCAAAGTATATGAGATGAAGCCTTGCCATCCTCACTTCTAAGGAGGATTCTGGCTGTACGTCTTCCAGGACAGATTCGTTTGTTCTTCTGGAAGTCCATGGTATATTCAATATTCTTTGCCACCACCACTATTCAAAGCCATCAATTCTTCTTTGGTCTTTCTTCTTCATATAGTCTAGCTGCTGAGATTATTTGCTCAGCATACAGGTTGAATAAGTATAGTGAAAGTATACAACCCTGATGCAGACCTTTACTGACTTTAAACCACACAGTATCCCTTTGTTCTGTTCGAACGACTGCCTCTTGGTCTATGTATAGGTCTCACATGAGCACAGTTATGTGTTCTGGAATTCCCATCCTTCACAATGTTATCCATACTTTGCTACGTCCACACAGTCGAACGCCTTTGCATAGCCAACAAAACACAGGTAAACATCTTTCTGATATTCTCTGCTTTCAGCCAAGATCCATCTGACATCGGCAATGATATCCCTTGTTCCACATCCTCTTCTGAATCTGGCTTGAATTTCTGGAAAGGGGAGAGAGAGAGAGAGAATGAAGAAGAGAGGAGAGCAGTGGAGAAAAAGAGAGAAGGAGAGAGAGAGAGAATTAAAATTAGAATAAGACAAATTCCAAAAAAGGTGAACCATTAGTTGGTGAATCTAGGTGAGAGATATACTGATGTTCATTGCATTATTCTTTCCAGTTTTCAAAATTAAATTGAAAGGTGCAGTAAACGCCGGTGCACTCTGAGAAAACCCAGTTTCTGGGTTGACTCCAACTCGTGGCAACTTCATGTTTGTCAGAGTAGAACCTTACTCTGTAGGGTTTTCAATGGCTGATTTTTCAAAAGTAGATTGCCAGACCTTTCTTCCAAGGAGCCCCTGGGTAGACTAGATCCTCCAGCCCTTCAGTTAGTACCCTAGTGAATTAACTATTTGCACCACCAAGGGATTTAGTCTATATATATTTTCCATAAGCAGAAGCCTGGGGCAAGAGGCTGACACCTGAGGATCAAAGGCAGGTAACGGTGATCTGAGGCCCTAGTGAGTGCTGCCCGGGTCTGCTGTGTGCCCACTGCCACTGTCTGGCCTGGTGCCACGGGTCAGTTCCTCTCTCCCTCACTGTATTCTTTCTTGCTTTCCTCAAATCTTCACACGTACCCCGCCCACCCCACCCCCCCGCCGCCATTTTCTTGTGTCTGGCCCGGCTTTTCATACTGTCTCTCTGTTTTTTTATATTCAAACCAGAACATCCAAACCCATTTCCATTAAGCCAATTCCAACTCATAGCGACCCCATAGGGTTGTAATCTTTACGAAAGCAGATTGCCACATCTTTCTCCTGCGAGTGGCTGGTGGGTTCGAACTGTTGACCTTTTAGTTAGCAGCTGAGAGCTTAACCACTGTGTGAGTCAGGTAAAACTTGGTTCGATGACCCCCCAAAAAAACAAAAACAAACACCTCTAACTCAAATATTTGAAACGAGCTGCTGCTGACATTTCATTCTTCCAGTAGGCAGGTCAATTCAGCAGAAATTTTAAGTTGTCTGTGTTTTAAAAATGCATTTCCAGAAAGTAAGGCAGGAGAATCGTGTTTTGCTACAAAACTCTGTAAAACTAATTCTTTTTCCCCTATGCCTGCCAAGGACTTTCTATTTCCTACAACATGGCAACTTTCGTTCCAGCCTTTTTCTGAGGTTTTGATTATTGAAAATTATCACTACTATGTGTTTGTGGTTTAATTGCCTGAAGCCACTTCCTGGAAAGGTCCCAATAAAGTAGTTATTTTATCAAAGTCCACAGAGTGGAAACCAGGACAATTCCTTTTGGTTGGGGAGGTGAGAGGGTAGGGAATAGGGGTTTATTTGACGAGTAAAACATTTTTAGGATTTTGTCCCACTGGAACAGAGTCCTTGCTGAGATGATCTCTCACTTCTCACCCTGATCAGCCCTGTGATTTTTAGAAGAAGCTTAACTTCAGATATACTTTCGCCTGTAACAGGAAGGTTTGGACTGGATTTCTCTAAGACTCCGTCCAGCTTTGTAGCTCTGTGACGCTTCAGGCAGCAAGTGCACCTGAGTGGATACAGTCTGACTTTCTGGTATTCAAGTAATTTCATCATGGTTTACAGACCTTTCACATAGTCGAGGCTAATGTCAGTCGTTACATATTTCACACAGCCTGAACCTAGAGAACGTCAGGCCTTGGGGGGTGTTTTCATCTGAGGGGAGGCCGCACAGCTCATCCTTCCAGTGAGTTGAAGTGCCTTTTTAGAGTCAGTCAACAGAAACAGAGTATTTGAATCCAGTTAAGAAAAAGGATGAGGGCTGGTGAGAACCCAGCACCTGCCAGAACCAGCAGCGTTCCTATCTCAGGTCCTCTTCATAAATTCTGGAAAGGCAATATATTGGGATTAGCTTTGGCTGTGAATAACAAACCTAAACGTGTAAAAGAAGGAAGTCCAGGGTGGTGAGGCAGTTTCACAAAGCCAGCGAGGGCTCAGGTTCCTTCTCTCTTGTTGCCCCGCCACTTGTAGCAAGATGGTCCATGAAGGCTGCTATAATCCAACCAAGATATCCACACTGAATCAGCAGGAAGGAAGACTACAAGGAAAAGCCTTCTCTTAGACCTAGGGAGGATCACACGCTTGCACTTACATTTCATTGGTCAAAATGTTGTCACATGCAAGGGAGGATGGGAAATGTAGTCATTATTTGGGGTGGTCATGTGCTCAGTTAAAAGCCAAGGGTTGTATTGTTGGAGAAGCAGGGAGGATAGATACTGTGGGAGGAAACTAGCAGCCGTAGATAGTATACTTGAGAAGAGCAAGGGTTTTGAATTACTAGTTCTTGGTTTAAATTTCCACTCCTGCTTACCAGCTGTAAGGTCTTGGCCAGGCTACTTAACCCCTGTGGTCTTCTCTATTTTGTCATCTGTAAAATTAGCATAATATGTCATGAGAACGAAAAGAAAGAACAAATGTTCAGTATTTAGCACAGCAGCCATTACCCTTGTACCAGGTCCTACATCAGCATCCTTGACTTCATTTATTTATTCGGCTATGGGGTATTGGTTATAAATGGTATGTTTAACTCCTACTTCTTTCATATCCTTACTAGAGAACTAGTAAATCTGGTTGGGACCAGTACAGCTGGGGACATGATAAGCTAACGCATGCCCAATCAATCTGATAGTTTATGTGACCTGCGTGCCAACCATGTGGCCTGACAAACCCGAGGGTGAGGTTAGAGGTGAAGTTACAGGAATATTTGCACTTCAGAAATGTGTGAAGGGTAAAGACCGTGCAGAAGTAGGAGGAGTTTAGGGGAAAATCTCACCCAGCTAAGAGGAAAATCTCAGGTTCTTCACTTCCTCGCCCATGACTCCTTGTCACCAGAAGGGGGAGCTCAGACCAAAACTCTGACCCTACAGGTTCTGATGGTTCCTGATTGACAGGAGATGCTTTCCAGAGTGCAGTTCCTCAGTTTGCCAGCCTTGCTCTGGCCAGTAAGAACTACCCAGGATTCCTGCAAACCATTCAGAATGATGTCTGTTCCAGGAGCTGAGGACAACTCAACCTCCTTCAAGAAAAGTGGGGATGGTGGTTGGATTCCCTCACCAGCAGCAACTCTCTGAAAGACTTTCAGTCATAAATATTTCCTCGGCACTTTCTGGGACCAGGCACTAGGTCAGCAATGTGGACCATGGACAAGACTGGACCTCTGACTTCAAGGCTCTCACCAACGATAGGGGAGCCACACAAGAAACAGGATTGCATGACAGTTCCCACTTTTTCACCCCTCCTGGTGTCACTTTGGAGCCCTGGTGGCACAGTGGCTAAGAGCTCAGCTGCTAACCAAAAAGTAGGCAGTTCTAATCCACCAGCTGCTCCTTGGAAACCCTATGGGGCAGTTCTACTGTGTCCTATAAGGTCGCTAAGAGTCAGAATAGACTCAATGGCAATGAGTTTGGTTTTTTTTTTGGTGTCACTTTGCACTACTTCCCACCAGAGGTGAGGTGTGTTTTTCTGCCCCATTGATGGTAGGTTTGGCCACCTGACATGTTTTGTCGAATGGAATGTGGGTAAACAAGAGTTCTGAGCAAGGCTTATGTGTTTTTGCTCATACCATTTGTGCTTCTACCATTACATGAGAAGATCATCTTTCTGGAAGCTCACTGGTCCAAGGAGGATGAGAGACAGGAGGAGCTGACTTGGACACCACCTGAAGCTTGAAACCAGGTCTATCCCAAGCCTAGTCTAGATTAGCCAGCCTCCATCTGACCTGGAGATTTGGGAACAAAAGAAATGACTGTTGTTTTATGCTTCTCAGTTTTGGGACAGTTTGTTAGGCAGCATTGTTGTGGCAATGGTTAGCTGATCAACAGGCAACTGTGATTTAGTCTGAGAAAGACTGTAGAGAGACACAGAAGGCATCTACTCCAGTCTTGGGGAGGTTTGCAGGGAGGAACGCTTCATGACCTTGTATACATGATTCATTTTTGAACCTTATTTTGCTTTTGTCCCCGGGGTGCTTTAAACCTGAGAGTTAGCAGTATATAGAATCCCTCAGGGTATGTCAGAATTGTATGTAAAATAAGATTTAATCCATAGAGATTAGAGGAAAGGGTATCTGATGAGTAAAATATGAGGATGTTTTGATTTCTGGTCATTCATTCACTCATTTGCTCATTCACCGAGTTGGAGTTGGGGACATAACTGTGAACAAAACAGACTAGGATTCTCACGCACGTGGAGCTTATGTTGTAGAGAGAGGAGACGTGGTTGATGATGAATGCCATAGAGAATAGTAGAGCAATAAAGGATAATATGAGTTCTAGGGTGGACGGGCGGTGCAGGGAAGCCCTCACCAGGTGGGTGATATTTCAGCAAAGACTGAGGGAGGAGAGGGAATGAGCAGTGGCCTCACCTGAGGAAAGAGTGTCCCAGCAGAGGGAGCAGGAGTGCCAAGGCCACTTCTGGAGAAAAATGTAGATGAAACCCCTTTACCAAGAGTCTAAGAGCTCCAGGGATTTGACTATTGGCTCGTTAGTGAATATATCATAGGTGAGCAAACCTGAAAAATTTGAGTTTTCTTGTAAAAAAAAACAACAACAAAAACAAAAAAAACAGGCAAGAAGGTTTCTATCATTGGGTGAAGTCTTCATACCCTGACCCTGGGACGGCCTTCAAGGGTTCTCTCTTTGGGAGCCTTTGGTTCTTGGTGACCCCTCTGTCTTTTCCTCTAGGCTACTGGGTGCTGGACCTCAACTTTCCACCTTCTGTGTCCTCCAGAAGTTGTCTGGAACAATGTTCATCTTGTGCATGGTGATCATGGGCGCTTCTGCCTTCACCGTTCAGCCTGAGCAGCACACAGGTAAGAAGTCAAGCTGTCAGGTGGTAGATGGCTTGTCTGTGGCTTCTCTGTGGAAGGCAATTGTTTATCTAGTTCTCAGAAAATCAAAGTACGGGTAGTTGTGCCTGATCAATGACCAGTGCTTCTCTTCACCCACCTCTCCTCAGCACCACAAGAGCTGTGGGAGTGGTCACCCCATCAGAGGAGTGAGCCAGAGGAAGAGGTGCACTAGCGGGAGCCCCTAAAATGTGCCTTTGGATTTTAACCACACATCCTGTCATGACCAACCTCTTCTTCTGTCTGAGCTCGGATCTACTTTTAGTGACAAGGGGTCAAAAAATGAAAAATAGGGCCAGATTTTTAAATAATTTTTTTCTTACTGTGTGAACCTGATTTAAATTTTCCTTCAAAATGTAAATCGAAATTGATAGCAGCCCTAAGCTTATTATTTGAAAAATTGAAGTCATATATAACAGGGTGGTTAATGGGCCTCAGGGTGCAGGTCCTCACTGTGCCTGATGTTCCCCTGACAGAACAAGCCCAGGTCTGCAGGTTCAGGAGATTTTGTGATTTGGACAGGTTTGGGAAAAACATCAGTCTCTGGATGGCACAAACAATTTACACTTGACTACTATGGTGCAGTGGTTAAAGTGATCGACTGCTGACCAAAAGTTCAGTGGTTCGAAACCACCACCAGCTCTGCCGGAGAAAGATGTGAGAGTCTACTTCCATAGAGATTTGCAGCCTTGGAAGCCCTATGGGGTCATTATGAGTTCGAATCGACTTGATGGCAGTGGGTTTGGACTAACCTAAAGGCTGGTGGTTTGAACCCACCTGGAGGCTCTTTGGAAGAAGGCCTGGTGATCTGCTTCCATAAAGATTACAACCAAGAAAACCCTATGGAGCAGTTCCACACTGTAACACATGGGGTTGCTATGAGTCAGAATCCATTGGCAGCAAAGGGTTTGGTTTTGTTTTGGGACCAAAAGCCTGATTGCGGTCTCCCTGTTCTTCAGTGGCTGCAAGGAACTGCCAATTCCGTGGCAAGCATTTCAAAAAGTATTACCGGGTGGAAGGAGAGCCAGTGGTCCTGAGGTGTCCCCAGGCACGGTCTTGGTTGCAGACCTCGGCCAGCTCCCACTTCAACACGACCTGGCATAAAAACGACTCTGGTAGGATGGTCCCAGGAGAAGAAGAGAAGCGACTATGGGTCCAGGACGGGGCCCTGTGGATTTTGCCAGCCTTGCAGAGGGATTCTGGCGCCTATGTCTGCACTGTCAGGTAAGCCCCTCTGGGGTGTAGGTAGGGGGTGGGCTCCCTCGAAGAATGGACTCTTGCTCAGTCCTCTAGAGATGACCTGAATTTCAAAATTCAATGTACAGGTGAGAATCCAAATTGTGTCCACCTCGCTGTCCATGAAATACCTGAGTGCCGTGGACCCTCCCCAGATGTTGTCTCGGGTCCCCTCCTCTTCATTTAAGTTTTTGCTCAAACATCACCTGTTTGGAAAGGACTTCCCTAGCCACTTTATCTAAAACAGCACTGTCACGGATTGAATTGTGTCCCCCAAAATATCCGTCAACTTGGCTAGGCCATAATTTCCAGTATTGTGTGATTGTCCACCATTTTGCCATCTGATGTGATTTTCCTATGTGTTGTAAATCCTACTTCTATGATGTCAGTGAGGCAGGGTTAGAGGTAGTTATGTTAATGAGGCAGGACTCAATCTACAAGATTAAGTTGTGTCTTAAGTCAATCTCTTTTGAGATATAAAAGAAAGAAGCAAGCAGAGAGACAGGGGGACCTCATACTACCAAGAAAGCAGCACCGGGAGCAGAGTGTGTCCTTTGGACCTGGAGGTCCTGTGAGGAGAAGCTCCTAGACCAAGGGAAGATTGATAACAAGGAAGCTTCCCACAGAGCCGACAGAGAGAAAGCCTTCCCCTGGAGCTGACACCCTGAATTCGGACGTCTAGTCTCCTAGACTGTGAGAGATTAAGTTTCTGTTTGTTAAAGCCATCCACTTGTGGTATTTCTGTTATAGCAGCACGAGATGACTAAGACAAGTACTCATGCCACTCTGTAACAAAATACCCTGCTGTGACAAAATACCACAAAGTTGTTAGCTTTAAACAACAGAAATGTATTGTCTCAGACTTTCAGAGGCTAGGAGTACAAGATCAGGGAGCTGGCAGGATCATGCTCTTTCTGCCCATTCTAGGGGAAGGTCCTTCTTTGTTTCTTCCAGTTTCTGGTAACCTCAGGCATTCCTTGTTGTTCCTTGTCTTGTAGATGCATCTTCACGTGGCGGGCTCTTCTCTGTCTGTCTGTGTCTGTTCTCCTGTTTTATAAAGACACCACTCAGAAGGGATTAGGACCCTCCCTACTCTTAATTTAGCTGATTTTTTTTTTTTTTTTGCAGGTAAAAGCAAAAGGTCATTTTTAATTTGTGAAACAAAACTAATCTTAACATCTTTCATACCCTGTTTCAAAACAAGGTCGCGTACACAGGTATGGGGATAGGACTTCAATGCATCTTTTTTTGGGGAATACAATTCAATTCATAATCTCTGCTTTTAATCTTCATAGCTCTTGTGTGTGTGTGTGTATGCTCATGTGTTTAACATTCGTCAACCTCATTAGAACGTAAACTCCATGAGACAAGGAACTTTGGCTACTTTGTCCACTGCTGAATCCAAATGACAGACACAAGAAATATATGAATAGAATTTTAGACCTGGATGAGACTTTAGGAATGAATTAATCTAACTGTGTGGTGTACGGATGAGGGAACCAAGCTCCAGAGAAGTTAAATTACTTATAAAGATCCCCCAGGTGGTTGGTGGTGGAGCGGAAACTGGAACTGGGACTTGTATCTCCTGACACTTAGTCCTGCTGCCTGTTGAATGAGAGAGACATAGGCCTAGTGTTGGCCATTTTACAATTTCCCTGTAGAGTTCCTGGGTGGTGAAATGGTTAATGTGCTTTAGCTGCTAACTGAAAGGTTGGTAGTTTAAGCCCACCCAGAGGGGCCTTGGAAGAAAGACCTGGTGATCTGCGTCCAAAAAAGCAGCCACTGAAAATTCTAGGGAGCACAGTTCGACTCGGACACACATGGGGTCCCCTTGAGTCAAAATCGACTCAAGGATAACTGCTATTTTTTCTTTTTTCTTTTTTTTGGTCTTAGTTCTGAACGGATTGGGGCAGACCCTTGCTCTGATTATGAAATAGCATTCCTGGCCTTCTCTCCATAGATGTGGGCTCTATCCTCTTCAAGCCTCTTCTTGTTCCTTCCACCAGCCAGCTGTAGAGTCCCTCCATATTTCACCAACTTATTTGATGTAAACAGAGACTGTGCCCAGGAATATTTACATTTAAAAAGAGAACCAAAGAAAGTGACGTTCTTATCACAAGGGAATTACTGGCTAATGGCAGAATTTCAGACAACGTCACCCCAGTCCTAGGCAGGTTGTGTTGTGTGTGACTTTGAGAATTTTTTCAAATCATACAAACCTTGGCACACACCCTTTCTACTATTCTATATGGCTAGTCCCCACTATGAGCAACTTAGGGACATGTTCAGTCCCGTCAATGAGCCCTCCCTAGGAAGCAGGCAAGCAATCTCCTATTTCCACCTACAGAGAAACAGCTAGAAATGCAAGGTTCTTCTTTCCTTTTCAATGTAAAAATTTAAATTTTCTCCAAGGAACGCTGCTAGGAAAACTTAGGAGTGCAGTAGGGAAAAAAAGACAGAATTTGGATCAGAAAGACATAGGTTGGAGTCTTTGCCCTCCCCCTTTCTATGGGGTGGGACCTTGGCCTCATTGCTTGATCTTTATGGGCCTCAGTTGTGCCCCCTGTAAAGAGGCTTGTTGGGAGGGTTACCTGAAATCACAGCATGGGATGCGTCTGGCAAAGAGAGTGTCATGATAGGGGGGTCAGTATACCCTGGGAATGCCCTCTGCGTCCCCAAAGGCAGAACTTACAGACCAATGAAGGGATAAATATGCAAAGGTCAGGGAGGCTTGAGCTGGATCATGTTTGTCTTAAAGTTCATTTTTATACTTAATTAAGAAAATTATACTTAACACTCTTTTTTTTTTTTATTCTTGTAGAAAAAAGAGGTCTGAGTTTAAAGAGGGAGTAGAAATCCCAATGTGTTCTGAACTTTCTAGCATGCAAGAGCGTTCACCTGGATGACCTCTCAGACCCTCTTCCCACTCTAAGCTTGGGGCTCTAGTAGAGGGAGAATCACCAGAAGTTACCGTAAAGCTCTTTGGTGTTTACAGTTGTAGGGAATGACATTGTCCATTTCCTGTGACTGTTACGATTTTGTGGTCTAGAACCTGTGTCAGTTACCCACATGTCCTTTCTTCAGGCAGGGTAGGCAAGGTTATGCTGCTATAATAAACATCCTCTAAATCTCGATGGCTTTAAACAACAAAGGCTTACTCTTCACACGTGCTAATGTCCATGATGGGTCAGCAGGCTCTCAGGGACCCAGGCTGAAGGAACAGTCATGATCTCAAATGTTGTTAGTCACTGCACCAGAAGGAAATGGGATCTGGAGGGTTTCTCGTGGCCGCTAAAGCTTTGGTATAGAAGTGACACACGGACAACTCATTGAACACAAAGAGTCATATAACTGTGCCCACCCGCAGCGGGGCCATCACGTGGAATCCCACTGTGCACTCAGAAAGGTGGACAACTGGAAACACTGGGTGGACAGCACTAATGACAATCACACTTTGGTCATGGGCTGCCACACTACATGGGGCTGTGGCTGACCATCACTTTACCCTCCTGACTCATCCTTTTTCTGAGTTATTTTCATGGAGTGTCTTGCCCAAAAGGAATTACTAGATCAATTATGTGAACAGGCTTGTGACTCTTGATGTGTGTAATCAGCTGGGTTTCCAGCGATAATGCCTTATTTCATGGATTTTCCTGGAGTCCTACTAGGCTTCCAACTTCATCTCAACCTCCTACTAGCTATACAGCCTTAGGCAATTACTTAACTTCTGCACACCTCATTGTCCTCACTGAAAATGACAGAACAATACTTCCTACCTCATTGTGTAGGAGAATCCATGAGATAATGTCTAGAAAGCACTAAGCACAGGGCCTGGCACACACGTGTACACTCTGAGCCAGCTGCTGGGATTGCTGTTTTTCAGGTGTGCACTGTTCTTAGACTTGTCTTTGCATTTCTTCACCTTGCAATGAGATTGTGCATTTTTCAAGGTGATAGTTAACTTGATGCATTTCTCTGCACATAAAATATATGTTCATCTTTTTTTTGTTTTAAACCAGGTATGGGATACAGTGCAGGAATTGAATGGCCTTATATATTTGAGTGAAGTATTTTTACTTTTGGATAGTAAGCTCTTACCAATCATTTCTGTTTCATTTTTTTGCCCCACGTTTTGTTGCCTCTTTGGATATAAATTGTATTCTATTTTGCAATTTTTTCTCCTATTTTTTCTCTCTCCTGTATTTAATACACATCTTCCTTGAGTAGGAACTTAGCTGTGATAATTATATTTTCATGTTTTTCTTCCTTAAAATATTTTTTATTATTATCTTCCCTCTTTCCCCCACTTCCCTGTGTGTTTCCAGGCTGGTTTTGACTCTGCCCCTTTTTCTAGTTTTGAGGTCTTTATAGAATTATGATATTGAGATTATGGTTAGCCCAGCTCAACAACGAAAACGACAACAAGCTTACCAAGTTCATTTCCTCCAAGCAGTACTGCAAAATCTTTGGCAGAACTTACACTAAGTTTTCTACAGCTTTCTGCAATTAGACTTCAGTTGATGAATGATTCCCAGGAGCTGTAAAGGCAATTTTCTTTATATGGAAAGTGTGGCTCTTACAAAACAGTCTCTCCCCTTGGATATACTTCCCTGAGCCAGGCATTGGGCATACGTTGGGGCTGGACTTCCGGAATCCCAGAACCAGAGAGGTTTAGGCCCCATCAGAGAAGACTGGGGAATTTCTTAGTGGTCCTAGATGGCCATGAAATCAGGCTGGTGGGAAGTCCTTTGGGAAAAATGCAGAATACATCACTGTTTCTACGCAGCAATTATAATGTTGGGTTTTTTTGTCCTCCAAGAATTCAAATGGAGCAGAGACAGAAGTATCGCAAAGTGAGTCAAGAAAACGCAGAATGTAGAATTTAATGGAGTTGGGGAAATTATTCTTAATTTCATTTATTTTTATTTTGTCTTGCTATCTATTACGTTTCTTTTTTTAATCAGAAATGCCTCCTACTGTGATGAAATGTCTATTGAGCTCAGCGTTCTTGAGAATACAGAAGCTTCTCTGCCGTTCACCTCTTACCTGCAAATTGTAACCCTGTCAACCCTGGGGTTATTATCTTGCCCTGAGCTGAGTGAATTCACCCGTAACAAAACTGGCTTGAATGTTCAATGGTACAAGGTACATCTTTATAAATTGCCACTTTGTTAAAATGTGTTTTGCTAGCCATGCTGTTGTTAGGTGTCGACTCATAGCGACCCCGTGTACAACAGAAAGAAACACTGCCCGGTCTTGTGCCATCCTCACAATCGTTGTTATGCTTGAGCCCATTATTGCACTGTGTCAATCCATCTCGTTGAGGGTCTTCCTCTCTTTTGCCGACCCTCTACAAGCCATAGGAAAGTATAAAATACCTATTTCAGAAGATAACACATTTCCTTTCGTATTTCTGGCTGTTAAAAAGCACTAAATTAAAAAAGAGCCATGATTAGTATATTCTATTAGCCCTTATGTGGCTTGGGTTAGAATTTCGATTTGAGAGGAGAGAATATAAAATGAATCCACAGTAAATGACAGCTGAAAGAAATAGGTTTTTCCTCTGCCCTTTGTCTATAAAAATTTAAGAAAAAACTGTTAGTTCATATAACAACTTTGTACACATAATGGAGTCCCCGGGTGGTGCGAACGTTTAAGCGCTCCACTACTACTGAAAGGTTGGCAGTTCAAACCTATCCAGAGGCACCTCAGAAGACAGCCTGACAATCTGCTTCTGAAAGGTCACAGCATTGAAAACCTTCTGGAGCAGTTCTACTCTGCACACGTGGGTCGCCGTGAGTTGGAATCAACCTGAAATTTAAAGAAATAAATTTTTCTCTATGTTGACTCCTAAAATTAAAATGATTTAAAAGTAGTCATTGCAACGTTATCTCTCCTGAAGAGAACAGTGATTTGTCGTCCAAATCACTATGACTACATAATAGCGTTCTTCCCTGGCTGTTTCCTAAGCCCTATTTAAAGGGTATATATATATATATATTTCAAAGCAGAGCCTTGGTGGCACAGTGGTTAAGGCCTCGCCTGCTAACCAAAAGGTCGGCAGTTCAAATCCACCAGCTGCTCCTTGGAAACCCCCTGGGCAGTTCTACTTTCTCCTATGGGATCACACCATGAGTCAGAATCGATGGCAACGGGTTTGGTGGGTTTTCTTTTTTTTTGGTTGTTGTTGTTATTTTTAAAGCATATGGTAATTAACCTTTGGTTTAAAGGAGTAAATATAAACACAATTTAGTCCCTCACCTGGCTGAATAAATACTATAGGGTTTTTTAGTGGCTTCTGATGAGAACATCAGATATTATTTACACTGACCAGAAGTCAGCAGTCAGCCTGTGGGCAACACTGAGCCTCCCACCGGTTTTTGCACGATCCTTAAGCTAAGGATAGCTTTTATATTTTTAAATGGCTAAAAAATTTTAAAATAAGAATAATGTTTTATGACATGTAAAAACTATATAACATTCAAACTTCAGTGTCCATCAGTAAAGTTTTACTGAAACACGGCTATGCTCCTTCATTTTCCTAGCATCCTTGGCTGCTTTCACAGAACAACAGCAGATTTCAGAAGCTGTGATAGAGACCGTAGGACCTGCAAAGCCTGATTTACTGTCTGACCCCTTAGAGAAAGTTTGCTGACCCTTGATATAGACTGTAGATTAAAACTGAAAAATAAAGTTATTTCTTTAATCATTGATAAGAGCTATGGCTGCTAACCAAAAGGTCGGCAGTTCGAATCCAGCAGGTGCTCCTTGGAAACCCTGTGGGGCAGTTCTACTCTGTCCTGTAGGGTGACTATGAGTCAGAATCGACTCAACAGCAATGTTCTGTTTTGTTTTTTAATCCTTTAGTCAATAGTAATTTAACCAGATGACTAGTATTGTAACTACAGATATATATATCAGTTTAACATTGGAAACTTTTGAATAATTTTATAAAGGTAAAGTAGCCAGCTCCTATGAGTTAGCTGGCCCAGCTGTACAATGCGTCTGTTCTTGGATTAGGATGATCCTAATGAGGACAAGTGTAGGCTTTCACCCACCTGGCTTTGAAACCCTGCTCCATCATTTACGTGTTGTGCAGCTTTGGGCCAGTTACTTCACCTCTCCAGCCTGTTTCCTCTCTAAAATGGCCACTAATAATTCCCACTGTCTGTGGTGCAAGTGCTTTGTGATCAACTGCTAACCTAAAGGATGACAGTTCAAACTCACCCGGCGGCTCCACAGAAGAAAGGCCGGGTGACTTGCTTTTGTGGAGATTACAACCAAGAAAACCATATAGGTCAGTTGTGCTCTCTAATACACAGGGTCACCATGAGTCCAAATGGACTAGATGACGATGAGTTTGCTGATCGTTTTGATGATTTAATGAAATAATGTACATCAAGCCCCTATGAAGACCTCCATGGTAGAGGATCTCAATAAATATGGAGGGTCAAGGAGGTCACAATGGCGCTTAATAATGTTTGCTCCTTCATAATAATGCTAATCTTTATTCAGCAAGTACTGTGTACAAGGCTGTTCTGAACTCTCTGACACATAACTCAAAGAAGTAGGAAGTGTTAATATCTCCATTTGGTAGATGAGGAAACGGAGACACAGGTGTAAGATACTTGTACAAGGTCACCCAGCTGGTAGATGGTGAAGCCAAAACTCTACCCCAGGCAGTCGAGCTCCACACACAGCTGCTACACAGGCTAATCCTGGTGGCTTGTGGCCTTAGAATAACTTCCATGCTGGGACCAGTTTGGCTTTTTTTATATTTGACCATGCCTGTTAGAAACAATGAAATTTTTTTGCTTTTAATCACATATATTGTAAAGTCAGACTTTATGAGTCATGTTGCTAACAGATTGCTCCGATGATGTCTGTGTTGCCATTTAGAGTAAGATTATGAAATGACTCAGGTTATACTTGACTAATGCAAGCTTTCAATCATCGTGGTTTTGAAAGAAATGTTCCTGAGAACATTTTGTGCTCATTAGGATGTCTTATCAAACCTTATTTGGCTTTTTAGAATTTATCGGAAGCCATGCTCTTGAGGGTTCTGTACTTCAGGAAACCCACAATACCCTTCGGCCATTGGAAAAAAGTAGCCTCATTTCCCCCATTTCGTTTTTCCTATAATTTTTTCTCTATCTCTACTGACTCCTAAAATGAAAATGATTTAAAAATAATTTTACTGCAATGTCGTCTCTTCTGAACATTGTCATCCAAGTCCCTGTGACTACATAGTACTTCCCTTCCATGGACGTTTCCTGAGGCCTATAGGCAGCTGTTAGGCCATAAACATATTGAGTTTTAAGTGGCCTATTTTGTCCAAGAAGAGGTCATCTTTCTCATCCATTGTGCTATTTAAACTAATCCAGTGATTCTATTTGTTCTATATGCTAATAAATTTCCCTTTTCTAAAAATGTAGTTAGAAGTATGCCCAAAGTACAACTTTGCAAAGTAAACACCAGGGCAATTCTTGGGTTGCAAATTCAATATTGGTTGGTCACAATAATGCTATTATCCACAGCTTTTGAGATATGCATAGATATATCAAAAAAAAAAAAAAAAAAAAAAAAAAACCCCACCCAAACCTGTTGCCGTTGAGTCTACTCTGACTCATAAAGACCCTATAGGACAGAGTAGAACTGCCCCATAAGGTTTCCAAGGAGCACCTGGTGGATTCGAACTGCCGAACACTTGGTTAGCAGCGATAGCTCTTAACCACTATGCCACCAGAGTTTCCAAACTGATATATGGTATAACTTAAAAACAACTTTTTTTTTAGTATAACTTAAAAACAACATTTTTCTTTAAGGATTCTGTTCTTCTGGATCAAGACAATAGAAAGTTTCTAAGTTTGAGGGGAACCACTCGCTTATTCATATACAACGTGTCTGTAGAGGATGCAGGCTACTACAGCTGTGGGCTGCCATTTTCCCACAATGGCACGCGATACAACATCACACGGAACATTAAAGTGCGAGTTAACCGTAAGTACTTGCCGTCAACGTAGCTTTCCATCGTGGTTCAATAACAAACATGCAAAGAACAATCAAGGTTCACACAGAGTTCCCTGAATGTCTTTGATATGGAGGGCAAAGGAAAACAGTCAACGCTCCAAAAGCTTCAGGCTAATAAGACATCTGTGTGACCCTCTGAAAGGTAGGAAGCTGGCTGGGTGTTGTTACGAGGAAAGGAGAGTTCCTTGGGAGTTGTGATAGGGTTCCAAGTCGGATAATAAAACACATCACTAAAGGGAATGAAAGTCCCCTTTGGAAAGCCCCATCTGGAAGGTGCACACCTAAAGGACCAGAACACAGTTGTCATAACTTCGTGTATAATTCTAGGATGCTAGGATTTTATCTGACTTTCCAGTCAGAGGCTGTGCATTGGCAAATCCAGTGGAAATCACCCTCTCTGTCTTCCCTAAGACCTGTCTTTGATATCAGGATAGCATAGTGAGAGCTCTCGTTGGTTTAAATGACTGATACTTGAAAGCAATGTTGTGAACAGGGTTGGATAGCATTTTAAAGCCTGTTCAGCATTTACTCTGTATCTCCTACCTGCCAGGCGTTGAGCTAGGTGCAAGGGGCATAAAAGTGTTTCAGCCTCGGACTCTGCCTGGAAAAGTGTGCTGCATTTCTTGATTAAACATATTCTTGAGCGTGAATACCTAACACAATTGGAGTCTTTTAAGGGGATTTCAGAGAGCCTTGAAAACACATTGCTAAGGTTTAATAACTGGTTTATGAGGGGAAAAGTCTAAGCTTTTTCTCACAGACAATCCAGGAAAATCATGCCTTCTGTGAACTGAAGTCTCTAGGTACTTTCACTTTACTGTCCTGTGGGGATTCATTCATATCAACTCCCTGCGCCCCCTACAGGGCAGTGCCTAAGACTTCCTCTACCTTGAACGCCCCATAATTATCCTGTTAGTTCGATACTGCACAGCAACAGTAGGGGGCAGCCAACTTACATATTATCCTGTGTTGCAGAGATGATGCATTTCAGCGGCTCTCAAACGGCCAGCTGCCTTGTCAGACTTGCAAAATCTTGGGCTTTATCCCAGACCTACTGAGTCATTAACTCTGGGATGGGGAGAAGGGGAGAGGGGGCGGCAATCTGTTTTTAACAAACCTTCCAGGAGATTCTGGTGCAAGCCCAGGCTTGAGAGCCACTCATGTCTCTAGTCCTTGAGGCTCCTTGTCTCCCAGGAAAACCGTGAGCTGTTCCTTTTGGCTGGGGATGGCTGCAAAGTGACCGAGGTTTCTGGTCAAGGGCAAGAAGCTATGTGCTTCTTGGTTACACTGTCATTTGCTTAACGTTTACTCATGTTAGGGTTTCACAATGCTCTTTAGTGGAAGAAGTGAGGAGATGAGGAGTTATGGAGATGGACAGCCTTTTACTCACCCCAAGCCTTCTTTTTTGCTCCATTTCAAGGTCCCGGTTTCTTCAAGCTGCTGGGAGCCCTGCCTCCTGGGGATCTGGGTTCTAATCCCTTGGAGATCCACCTCTACCTCCTAAAAGAGTTTCTGTAATTGATTAACAAAGACATAAGTGGTCAATACTATATTTATTGGCGCTCTGGTGGCACAGTGGTTAAGCGCTTGGCTGCTAACCAAGAGGTCAGCAATTCAAATCCATCAACCACTCCTTGGAAACCCTATGGGGGCAGTTCTACTCTGTCCTATAGGGTCGCTATGAGTCGGAATCAACTCGACAGCAATGGGTTTGTTTTTTTTTTTTTGGTTACTGTATTTATCATCCAGTGTGGAGTTAGCTTTACAAACTGGTGGTTTTTGAGGCCCTGTGCCTTTTTTTTTTCTAGAAGGAAATCTCCAGCAGGCATCTGGGAGTGGGAGGATATTTTAGGGCAAGTCGACCTTTGGGTAAAACCTATCCTGTGGATATTGTGAATGTTGCTATTATGAATGCACTCAGGAAGCCTGGGAGGGGATGGTTAATTGCTTATCACTGAGCAAAGAATGTCTGTCGGGGGACCATGTGTTTATTTGTGGCCTTCCTGTAATTTCTCTGCTGGGAAGGGCATTGGCCAGAGATGCTCAAAGACCTTTGCCAAAGGCCGGTTCTCGCAATGACTGGCCACACTGTCAGGGTAACTAATAAGCTCAACAATGGAACTTGAACATCACCTTGAAATCAGGGCTTTTCTAATCGAGTCCCTTTTCCTTCCATCTTTCTCAGAAAAAGAAGAAGAGCCAATTCCGGTGATTGTGTCTCCCCACCAGACCATACTAGCTTCGCTGGGTAAGGCCTGCAAGGACTGTGTGACCTACATGGCCTGTGTGGGTGACTGAAACCACAAAGCTTGTGGGTCTCGGGGGGCCTTGTCTCTGCTAACTGCCTCCTTGGTGTGCGTTGTGTCTGAGTGGAGGCCCTTGAAACCCAATGTGTAAAGTGGAAATATCAAATGCAAGGGAACATTCTCTTTGTCACATGTTGTTGGACATGGCACTGTTTTAAGACAGGCACACTTTGCTTCAAGAAAAGCCCTACATGCAAGAAAAGTAGAGTGTATACTTACATGCTTCTGTATATACAGACTCTTTCCGGAAGAATAAGGAAACCATTAGCTGGGATTGCTTTTGGAAAGGAGAACTGGGAGTTTGAAGTGGGAAGGAAACTAAATTCAATGAATGTACTTCGGTGACATTTGAATGTTTTTTATGTGCATTTTAAATTTTTCAATAAAAACTAGACAATTTTTTTTAAAAGCCCTACATAAAAGTATCTAAATGTAAAAAACTGAACATTTTAGGAGCAATTATTTCACCTCATGATTCCTTTACCTCATAGTTCCTTCATGTAGTTAGCACCTTTGGTATACAGACAATCCCTGGGTTAGGAACGAGATCCGTTCCTGAATCTTTTTTTAAAATTTTTTTATTGTGATTTAGGTGAAAGTTTACAGAGCAAATTAGTTTCTCATTAAAGACGAATTAATACACAAATTGTTTTGTGACACTGGTTGCCAACCCTGCGATATGTCAACACTCTCCCTTCTCCACCCCAGGTTCCCTGTTTCCATTCGTCCAGTTTTCCTGTCCTTCTTGCTTTCTCGGCTTTGCTTTTGGGCTGGTGTGCCCATTAGTGTCATATACATGATTGAAGTATGAAGCATGTCCCGCATGTGCTATTGTTGACCCTATAGACCTGTCTAATCTTTGGCTGAAGGGTGAACTTCAGGAGTGACTTCAGTAACCCAGTTAAAAGGGTGTCCGGGGGCCATACTCTTGGGATTTCTCCAGTGTCTGTCAGATCAGCCAGCGGGATCTTTTTGTGTGTGTGTGTGAATTTGAATTTTGTTCTACATTTTTCTCCTGCTCTTTCCGGGACACTGTATTATAATCTCTGCCAGAGCCGTGGGTGGTGGTAACTGGGCACCATCTGGTTGTTCTGGGCTCAGTCTGGTAGAGGTTGTGGTAGTTGTGGTCCGTTAGTCCTTTGGACTAATCTTTCCCTTGTATCTTTGGTCTTCTTCATTCTCCTTTTCTCCAGCCAGGATGGTACCAGTAGATTTATCTTAGATGGCCGCTTGAAGGCTTTTAAGACCCCAGTCACTACTCACCACAGTCGGATGTAGAACATTTTCTTCATAGACGATATTATGCCAATTGAGCTAGATGTCCCCTGAGACCATGGTCCCCTCCCTAAGTCTGTCTTTAAGTCGAATTTGTAGGTAAGTCGGAACAGGTACATATGATTCTTATTTAGCGTCAGTTAGTCAAATGTTTATCTTAGCATGTAGCATATACTTTACCTTTCAATGCATATTAAACCCTTAAGAAACACTTCCAAACCTCGCAGTGTTTTCATGAGCATCACAAAGTAGTGAGTGCATTTGTTATTATGAACCACTGTACATATTTAACTCAAAATTTTAATATAAAGAAGGTATGGAAGGAGGGATATCATTGCTGATGTCAGATGGATCTTGACTGAAAGCAGAGAATACCAGAAAGATATTTACCTGTGTTTTATTGACTATGCAAAGGCATTCAACTGTGTGGATCATAACAAATTCTGGATAACATTACAAGGAACGGTGTTATGGATTGAATTGTGGCCCCCCTAAAATGTGCAACAACTTGGCTAGGCCATGATTCCCAGTATTGTGTGATTGTCATCCCTTTTGTGATCTGATTTGGTTATCCTATATGTTATAAATTCTAACCTCTATGATGTTAATGAGGCAGGATTAGAGGCAGCTATGTTAATGGCACAGGGCTCAGTCTACAGGATTAAGTTGTATTTTGAGTCCATGTCTTTTGAGACATAAAATAGAGGATCCAGCAGAGAGGAGTAGGCTCTTATTACCATCGAGGAAAAAGCGCTGGAAGTGGAGTGCATCCTTTGGACCTGGGGTCCCTGCCCTGAGAAACTGGACCCAAGGGAAGACTGATGACGAGGACCTTCCCCCAGAGAGGAAAGATTTGTCCTAGAGATGATGACCTGAATTTAGACTTCTAGCATCCTAAACTGTGAGAGAATACATTTCTCTTTGTTAAAGCCATTCACTTGTGGTATTTCTGTTATAGCAGCACAAGATAACTAAGAAACAACAATTCCAGAACACTTGTGTTCATGTGGAACCTGTACATAGGCCAAGAGGTAGTAGTTCAAATGGAACAAGGGGATACTACAGGGTTTAAAATCAGGAAAAGTGTGTGTCAGGGTTGTATCCTTTCACCATACTTATTCAATCTGTACGCTGAGCAAATAATCTGAGAAGGTGGACTACATGAAGAAGAACTTGGCATCAGGATTGGAGGAAGACTCGTGAACAACCTGTGGTATGCAGATGACACAACCTTGGTTGTTGAAAGTGAAGAGAACTTGAAGAACTTACTGATGAAGATCAAAGACTACAGCCTTCAGTATGGATTCCACTTCACTATAAAAACAAACAAAAAATCCTCACAATTGGACCAATAAGCAACATTATGATAAATGGAGAAAAGATGAAGTTGTCAAGGATTTCATTTTACTTGGACCCACAATCAACATCCATAGAAGCAACAGTCAAGAAATCAAATGACTTATTGCATTGGGTAAATCTGCTGCAAAAGACCTCTTTCAAGTGTTAAAAAGCAAAGACGTCACTTTGAGGACTAAGGTGCACCTGACCCAAACCATGGTATTTTCAATTGCCTCATATGCATGTGTAAGCTGGACAATCAGTAAGGAAGATCGAAGAAGAATTGATGCTTTTGAATTATGGTGTTGGCAAAAAATATTGAATATACTGTGGAACGCCAGAAGAATGAACAAATCTGTCTCAGAAGAAGTACAGCCAGAATGCTCCTTAGAAACAAGGATGGCAAGACTTCATCTCACATACTTTGGACACGTTACGAGGAGGGACTAGTCCCAGGAGAAGGATGTCGTGCTTGGTAAAGTAGAAGGCCAGCAGAAATGAGGAAGACCCTCAATGAGATGGACTGATACAGTGGCTGCAACAATGGGCTCAAGCATAACAACAATTGTGAGGATGGTGCAGGACCGAGCAGTGTTTCATTCTGTTGTAGACAGGGTCACTATGAGTCAGAACCAACTCCATGGCTCTTAACAGCAACAACAATCTTTATGGGAGCAGATAGCCAGGTCCTTTCTCCCATGGAGTGGATGTTGAGTTTGAACAGCTGACCTTTGGGTTAGCAGCTGAGCTCTTAACCATTGCGCCACCAGGGCTTCTTTTAAGTCTAGCTGGTTTATAGTGTTATTCAGGTCATCTGTTTCTTTATTAATCTTCTTTCTAGATGTTCTATTATTGAAAGTGGTGTACTGAAGTCTCCCACTATTATTGTAGAAATATTTCCCCCTTCAATTCTACCAGGATTTACTTTATGTATTTAGGGGCTCTGATGTTAGATGTATATATATTTATAATTGTTATATCTTCTTGATGATTTTACCCCTTTATCATTATATAATGCCTTTCTTTATGTCTTCTAACAGATTTTGATTTAAAGTCTATTTTTATCTGATATTAAAATTGCTACTCAGCTCTCTTTTGTTATTATTTGCATGGAATATTTTTTCCATCCTTCCACTTTCAACTTATCTGTGTCCTTGGGTGTAAGATACGTCTCGTGTAGATAGCACACAGTTGAATCATGTTTTCTTAAATCCATTCTGCCACTCTGTACCTTTTAATGGGAGCATTTAGTCCCTTTACATTCATTGTAATAATCAGTAAGGAAGGTCTTACTTTTTTCAATTTGTTTATTTGTGTGTCTTGTACTTTCTTTATTCTTTATTTTCTTTAATATTGCCAATTTTTGTGTTTTGTTGTTTTTTTTGTAGTAAGCCATTTTGATTCCCTCCTCCTTCCTTTTGTATGTATTTTTAAGATATTTTCTTTGTGGTTACCATGAATATTACATTTAACATCATGCATTCATAACAACCTGGATTACACTGATACCAGGATAACTTCAGTAATATACTAAAACTCTATGCCGATACCATTCCTCCCATCCCCACTCCCTTGATTATTTTGTTATCACCAATTATGTCTTTATACATCATGTGCCCTATAACATAAATTTATACTTATTTTGTATGCTTTGTCATTATAAAGCATGAAGGACGTAACAATTAGAATTATTAAGCAAAAGTATCTTAAAACTTACCCTTGTAATTACGTTTAATGTAGATCTTTCTGCACATGGCTTCAACTTACTTTCTAGTGTCCATCTGAAGGACTCCTTTTTACATTTTTTGTAGGTCTGGTGTGGTGGATATAAACTGTCTCAGCTTTTGTTTTTCTTGGAATGTCTTGATTTTGCCCTCATTCTTGAAGGACAGTTTTGCTGGGTATAATATTCATAGTATTCTTGGTTGACAGTTATTTTCTTTCTGCAGTTTAAATATGTTATTCCATTACTTTATAGCCTTCGAGGAGTCTAAGAAGTCATCTCTTAATCTTATTTGGAAACTTATATGTGACTGTTAGTTTCTCTCTCCCTGCTTTTAGGATTGTCTCTTTGTCTTTAGTATTTGAGAACTTTGTTATAATATGTCTTGGTGTGGATCTCTTTGGGTTTATCTTACTGGAGTTTATTGAGCTTCTTGGATTTGTAGGCTTGAGTCCTTGGCCAGATTTGGAAAATTGTCTGCCATTATTTCTTTAAATATTCTTTTTGTCCCTTTCTCTCTTGTCTCTTTCTGGAATTTCCATGATGTGTATGTTAGTTTGCTTCGTGTTGCTCCATAATTCCATTAAACTGTGCTCAGCCATCTTGAGACTCCTTCCTTACTGCTCTTCAGCCTCCACAATTTTGACTACCTTATCCTCTAGGGAACTCATTCTTTCTTCTGCTTGATTGATTCTGTTGTTGAATCTTTCTGATGTGTTTCTCATTTCAGTTTTTGTCTCTTTCTGTTTCAGTGTCTCTGTTTGGTTTCTTTTTATAGTCTCTTTCTGTATTTTTTTATTCTCATTTTGTTCATGGATCATTTTTCTGATTTCCTTAGTTCTTTGTGTTTTCATTTAGTTCTCTGAGCTTACTTAATATTGTTATATTCTTCTAACCTGTTTGTGATTTGGGTTGCCATAGGATTTCTTTCTCTTTGTCTTGTTCATTTGGATAAGCCATCATTTTCTTTTCTTGTTTTTGGTATGTATTGTTATTTTTATTTGTTTCTTTTTTGAAACCAGGACATTAGAATTTTACAGGGTGTTAACTTTCTCAATTCTCCCTAGTGTTTGGTATTTTTAACAGCAGTTCTTCTTGTGAGAAACTCTTAGTTGGCAGAGCCTTCAGAACTTGCTTACCGTCTCTACCCCCTCTGTGTGGTAGCTCCCTTTCACTCACTGTTTTAACTAGGAGTTGAAAAGATCAGATTGTGGTGTCTGACTTTCAGTGTCTCCCAGACAGAACAGAGAACATACACTAATAAATATGTCCACCAGGGGCATGGCTAAACAGAACAGAGATCACATACTAATCATTCTTTCTACCACGTGTGCAGTCTTCTTTCTTTGGTTATCACTCCCTCTCCTGTTCTGTGTGGGCTGCATTTCTGTGACCACGTTTTCAGTAAAAAGCCCACATGGAATGGGGTTTGGTGGGGCTGTGTGATGCCCTCCTTTCTTACATGAGGCTCCCTTCCCCATTTAGTGAAGGCTCACTTCTCTCAGAAATGGAGATCTAGGCAAGCACAATCAGGCTTTCCACCCCACTGGGAAGGGTAGGGGTGAGCTCACCCAAATGGATTCCCAGGGAGATCTGTCTTGTTAATTTCAAAGCCTGAGCTCTGGGTCTTTCGCTGTGCACAGGCAGCCATTGTGTTGGCTGGAGGAGCAAACTCCACTGCAGGCACTACTTCCAGAGTTCACAGCAGCTGAAGGTCCACTCAGAGCTGGAAGGGGTGGGGACAGGGAGAGTGGGAGAAGCCATGTTCCTATCATATGAAACTTGTCATTGACTCATGACTCATGTCCGTCTGCAGCTCCCTGCTGCTGTCCTCTGCTCACTGATTTGGAGTGCCTCAGGGTCGAGCACAGATGTCATGCTGTACTTCTTGGCGTATATGTTGGAGGGTCAGAACCTAGATCTGCTCACACTGCCATCTGCCTAGAATTCTTTCACTTGTTTGCTTTCAGTAAACTGAAGTACACATTACAGTCACACAATCTCTGATTTAATGGATTGCTTTTACCTGAGGGAAGTGTTTGAGGCTTGAAGTGTGTTGAACAAAGGAAAAGACCTGACATTCTGAGTCTGAAGAGGGGTCAGGTTCATTAAAAACCATTTCACAGGGAGAGGTATGAGAAAGAAAAGAGTGGGAAGGATTTCCACTTTTTTTCCCCCTCCTTTCCTTTGGTGACTTAGAAAGAAAAATCACTTATAGTGATTGGAGCAGTGGATCCAGTCTCATAGTATTGCACAACTGAACAGGGCACCATTCAGTTATGATACAGTGGCTTTTTAAAGGGTTAATCTTAAATGAGAGCCATCTGGAAAGGGAGAGTTCCTCTATTTTTATTTATTTATTTTTTTTGTGGAACCCAGGGGAAAATTTAGCACTGAGACCAGCAGTGGTAAGAAAGAAAGAATCTAGATGTTAATTTGGATTTTTGAGGTAAATGGAGTAAACTCTGGAAGAAGTCAGCCCTTGAATTCAGAATGTCCTGCATGAGACAAGTGTCCTTCAGGATGTCATTTCACTTCACATGTCCCCAGGTTTTTATCTGCCATCAGACCAGTTGACAGAACTGGAGGGCACTTGATAAATATTAAACCTCTGTGTGGCTGGGATCATTTGAGGAAACTACATTTCCTCGTAAGAAAAGAATTGACTGGTGAGGGATATCTGACAGGAGGAGGAGGAGTCCACAGCTCAGGTTTGCTGGTGGACATAAGGAGCTCCTTTTCTGTGCTGAGTTTGACTGTTTATGCATGTGCCTTGCTGTATACAGGGTCAAGACTGACAATCCCATGTAAGGTGTTCCTGGGAGTCGGCATAAAATCAACCTCCACTGTGTGGTGGACGGCCAATGACACTATCATAGACAGTGCCTACCCAGGAGGCCGAGTGACTGAGGGGCTGGAAAAGTAAGTGGGCTCCTCTTCTTTGTCATCTTAGAAGACTCTTCTGGACAGAAATCTTGTATGACCTCTGAAGACCTCACTCTTCCTTTTGAAGACAAAGCCATGTCAAACTTATAAATATGACACACATATTGCATCAAACATAATGTTTTGGGTTCTACAGTTATGGATTTCTAGAATCTAAAAAACTGAGTTTTGCTAAGAATCATCAATTGTTCTTATGAATCCCATGTTATATACTACCATAGAAGAGGTGAGTTACAGTTAACTGGTTGATATTGATGCTGCATTTTCTAAGAGTGTAATTAAACATTTAGCACTTGATTTTTGTACTTTACTTTTTGCATTTTGAAATTAATACATTTCCATCCCCTACACTGCAACCTGAGCCTCAGAAATTTTCAGAAATCCTTGAAAAGACTCGGGGACATAGCCACAGTATCTACACTGCCTCCTCTGCTTCACAGGGAACTGTGGGGGCCTCAGACTCTAAGGAAGGTTGTGTTAAAGGATAAAAACTATTCTCATAATCATTCATTTCTAGAAAATGTTTTCTCACTCTGAAACTAGAACAATCGGATCTCATGAGCGGGAACCATTTGGGTATGAGAAAGGGAGACATTAAACATTCCAAATATTAAGTAATTTTTTAATTACAGTTTTAGTACTTTGAACTAACATATACTTTTGCTGCCAGCCATTATTTTTTTAAAAAGTCTTTCTAGATGCAGTGTATTGGATAGAAATTATGTGTGGTTAGCATAATTGTTTGCTTGCAAGTCTTTATTGTGAAAAGAAAGACTTGGCCACAACTCACATGCCCCTATCAGCTTACTCATACTTTCCCTTTACTTAAGGGATCATATTTTTTTTCCCCATAGATAAAACACAAATACCTCAGTGGATCTACAACAAGAATGTTTTTAATTCATACTTATAGCTAGAAGAGAAGTGTGTGCAAGTCTTCAGATTTTTATAACACCATGAAAGTCAGTTATACTGACTGGAGCCGTTCCCCTGGTCTGTCTGCAGACCTCCTATCAAAAGCTGAGTTTCCAGAACAAGTCAGTAATGGAGAGGGGAAGGGGATTGTTGAGGGACTGGAGTTCTGGAAACTCCCTACTCTTAAATATGCAAATGTCTTATTGGCCACGCAGAAGGTTTCCCAAAACTAGACATTTCTATTCCCACTACTGGTTCTTATTTGGCTGTTTGTCAAAGGTCTTAAAAAATGGATTTTCCATTATCCAAACAAAACTGGTTACTCTAAGTTCTTACTGTAACACATCTCCTACTACAGTAATCAGCATCTTCTATGACACTCTTGCCTTCAGGATAGGTTTAAAAATTCTCCCAGGAAGTAACAAATATGCTAGTATTTGCTCCCAACTTGATGCATCTTGAAATAGATTTAAGCACAAAGGATGCTGCTGCTTCTTCTTCTTTTAATAATAATATTTTATCATGTTCTTGGTGAAAGTTTACACAGAAAATCAGGTTCCCATTTGACAATTTCTATACAAATTGTTCAGTGACAATAGGTGTATTTTTTCACAATGTGTCAACATTCTCTTTAATTGTGTTCTGGTTGTTTCATTTCCAGTGCTCTAGTTTCCCATCTTCTCATCTTTACTTTAGAGTAATTGTTGACCTTTTGGTCTCATGTAGATCGTTTTTCTAATGAAGCCCCGAACTCACGGATAATATCCTTTATTTTGTGTGTCAATCTGTTATTTCACTAAAAGACGACCTCAGGGGATAGTTCTGGTTCAAAGTTTGAAGAGTATCTCAGGGTGGTAGTCTCGCGGAGACTTCTAGTCTCAGCTAGTCCAGTAAGTCTGGATGTTTTAAGAATTTGAGTTCTGTTCCGCATTTTCCAACTGTTCGATCAGGGTCCATCTACTGTGGCCCAGGTCAGAACAGTCTGTAGTGGTAGCCAGGCACCGTCTAGTTCTTCTTGTCAAAGGATACTTCTAACTGAGAATATTTGGATGTCTAAGTTATAAGACAAGCTTGCATTGGATACATCATGTTTAAGTAAATGTTTTCTCACTCAGGGAATATTCAGAAAATAATGAGAACTACATCGAAGTGCCATTGGTTTTCGATCCAGTCATAAAGGAGGATTTGAAAACAGACTTTAAATGCATTGTCACTAATAGAATGAGTTTGCAGACACTACGTACCACAGTCAAAGAAGGTAAGTATTTGGGGACACTGAAGTGAAAAATGACATGTCTAATGTTCTAGGGATGATTGGCAAAGCTACTAGTTCTCCAAATGATTGCTTGGAAAGTCCTTTGCATTTCCTGTAGTAGAGCACAGAAAGAAAATCTCTGATTCTTGAATATTTTTATGGAAGGGTGGAGGCTGGACCTGGAAGATTTTACTCAAATAAAAAATTTACTAGCAAGCTGATTTTTGGAAAATAAAGATAAAATTACAATGTGATAAAGTTTTATACACCCTTGTGCCCACAATGGGTTCTGACCTGGACCACCAGGATCAGCTGTCCTCACACGGCCTCTAGAGGTGGAAGAAGCATTCTTCATCCTGAAGTTCAGAATCATCGACTTCCAAGAGTGGGGGATTGGGAGACACCCAGGGTTCAGGGCAGCTTTCGAGTAGAAGTCCTTCATCAACAGGAAATAACACAGTGGTCTACAGCCAACTCACTCAATGACCATTAAAGGACCTTAAAAAAAGAAGAAAAGAAAAACTCAAATTATCATTTTTGACCAAATTTATTTGTCTGAATGTTTAAGTATTGAGCAGGACAGGGAAACCAATTAATTTAGTCTCTGTCGACAGGCAGATCAATTGACAACAGACAAGCCAAAGTGATCCCAGCTGGAATCTCACTTAGGCCTCCAGGCAATCTGCTTCCATCACATAAAGTCAAATTGCTGCACAACTCCATGTTGTGCAGACATTCTTTACATTGAAAACCTGATGATTTGGTCAAGCCTTGGGGCAGAGAATGACAATCCAATACAACCTTTCTCCAAATACGATCTGTGGACCACCAACATCAGGCTACCTGAGCCACTAAATTAACAATACAGATCCCTGGCTTATCCCAGATTACTGAGTCAAACTCTCCTGGGGTTTGGCCAAAGGCAACTTAGCAAGCTTCCTGTCATATTAAAGCTTGACAACCATTGACACCTAGGACAGATACACCAAAGATGGTGTTTCAGAACTTCACATGACACTCTTGGTGAGAAAATGTGAGGGCTGCTCAGACTGACCTTGGAAGATCCAACAAAAGCAGAATCCAACTGCTGGGATTCAGACCAGCACACAAGGGAGCACTGTGGTTTGTCTGGTGATGACACTGGGAGCCTGTCATTAGCTGGCCTGGCCATGACTGATCCCAGAGAGCACCTTCACCAGGACTGCAATGTGCATCCAATGGCTGCTCAGAAATTACAGCTTCACTTATTCTTCCCCCCGCCACCACTCCCTTGGGATTTTAAGGTATAAAAATCATCTGGGAAATTGAGCAAAGATTGTGTTGGTTCCTGGAGGCCTAAACAGACTATGGCAAATAATATTTAAAAAATGTCTAATTCAGGCCTCATCACCAATAAAGTCCATGTTCTTTACTTTCCCTCTCAGTTTCCTTCTATATTTTTGTAACACAATGATATCAAGGAATACAGTACAAAATAGCAAGATCTAAACAATCACATGCCTGGCGCCTAGAGCTCCTCTATTCAAAGCTAGTTTTCTTTTCCTTTGTTGCTTTGTTTAATCCTCATGACACCCAGGCTCACTGGAACAGGGAAACCGTACCATGACCATGTCACAGTTGGCTGATGGAAGCCTAAACACATGACATCCTAAATGTCCACTTTCCAACTGGGGGAACAGGGTTAGACCCTTGAGGCTTGCCTTCCTCCTCCGCATTCTTTCTTTCTAGTGGATTTTGTCCTTTCCTGCTTGTTTCTCTAATGCCACAGACACCATCCTCAAATATCTCTGATCATAGTTTCTGAAAATCAACCCACATATGTCAGGAAAAACTAACAAACTCCCATTCCTTTCTCCCTGTAAACCTGCCCTCACTTTCCAATATGGCGGTGAGAGACTGTCCCCCTGATGTGACTCTGTTCTCCCCACAGCCTCCACCTTCTCCTGGGGGATTGCGCTGGCTCCCCTCTCGCTGGTCTTCTTGGTTTTGGGAGGAATCTACATGTACAGATGGTGTAAACACAGACCTGAAAAAGGATATAGTCTGACCACGGTAAAGACCGACCATGAAGATTTTTAATCCCATCCAACAAAATAGAGGAAAGAGAATAACTCAAGTACAAACCATGTCCTTTTCTATGGAAATGGTTCTTCCTTTTGGAGGAACTCTGTTCATTTCTCAACTGTTAACAAAGCCACTGTGTTTATAGTGGACTTGTAATAAAGCACTGAAGTACTATGTACCTTGTATCTGAAACTGAATGAGTGGAGTGTGTGTAGAGGGTGTGCATGTGAGTTTGTATGGATGGGGGTGAGTAGTTCTACCATTTGTGACCTATTTAGGATTTAGTAAGAGTTGAAAATATCTAAATGAGTTTTGAACTCATTCATTTATTTTTTCTACAAAAATGTATTAAAAATCTATTTTGGCAAGGCTTTATGGGAGGTGTCGTAGATACAAAGATAGAAGACGGAGTTTGAGCATTATGCTCTTTTAAAATCTATCTATATGGGATCAAACTGACAACAGCAACTGAAAGACTAGATAGAAAGCTTAGGGGGCAGTGTGTTTATGCTAATGGGAGAGGAACAACTCGGAAAAGGAGGGTGAGAATGGTTGTGCAACTTGAAGAATGTAATCAATGTCACTGAATTGTAAAAGTAGAAACTGTTGAATTGGTGAATGTTTTGCTGTGTATGTTCTCAGCAACAACAACAATGACAAAATAAAACAAATTATTTAAAAAATAGGACTTCAATTTTGGGACTGGAAAGGATGATTTGGAAATGCTAAAGAAGAAAAATCAGCAAGAATTGGTGAATTTTTTGGAAACAGTCATCTAAAAAAGAACAATTAAAATAGAGTGGACTCTCAGAAAAATACGCGAGTTGGAACATACTAGTGAATGATGAAATTGACCCAAAGTAATAGTAATAATTCTCCTGAAAACAGAGGAGAAAGAAAGGGTATTGAGATAACTGCATACTAATTGGAAAAATAATTCAGAGCCTTTTTTTTGCAACATACACCAGAACATTCCAGATAAATTAATGAGTTAAAATATAAAAATTAAATTAGAGGAAAATAAGCATGACTGCCTCCTATACCTCTTCAGTTCTTTGTTTAAATGTGACCTTTTCAGAGGTTGTTCAAAAATAGTACTTCCTTCTGTCCCTTCCTGTCCCCTAACCCTCTCCTGTGTTTCATCACAGCCCTTATCACCACCAGATCTTACGTTATATAATTGCTTGTTCATTTTTTACTTTTTTGTCATATGTCTTAGTTATCTAGTGCTGCTATAACAGAAATACAAGTGGATGGCTTTAACATGGACAAATTTGTTCTCTCACAGTTTAGGAGGCCAGAAGTCCAAATTCAGGGTGCCAGCTCCAGAGAAAGGCCTTCTCTCTTTTATCAGTTCTGGGGGAAAGTCCATGTCATCAATCGTCCTCGGGTCTAGGAGTGTCTCAATGCAGGGACTCCGGGTCCAAAGGATGGGTGCCACTCCCAGCTCTGCTTTCTTGGTGGTAGATGATCCCCCTGTGTCTCTGCTCCCTTCTCCTTTTATATCTCAAAAGAAATCGACCCAAGACACAATCTAATCTTATAGTTTGAGTCCTGCCTTAGTAACATAACTGCCTCTAATCCTGCCTCATTAACATTACAGAGGTAGGATTTACAACATACAGGAAAATCACATCAGATCACAAAATGGATGACAATCACACAATACTGGGAATCATGGTCTAGCCAAGTTGACACACATGTTTTGGGGGACAAAATTCAATCCATAACATGGTACAATATATATAACAAAACGATGCCTTTTTAACCAGTTCTAAGTGGATAACTCAGCAACATTATTTACATTCACAATGTTGAGTAACCATCACCACTATCTAGTTCCAAAACTCTTTCATTATCCCGCACAGAAACTCTGGACCGATTAAGCAAAACTGCTCGTTCTCTCCCCACTCCCTCACCTCTAATCTACTTTCTGTCTTTAAGCATTTGTCAGTTCTTTGTGTTTCATGTAATTGGGATCATACAACATTCATCTTTTGGGACTGATTCATTTTCACCCAGCATGATGTTTTCAAGGCTCATCCGTATAGTAGCATGTATCAGGCTTCATTTCTTTTTATGGCTGAATAATACTCTATTCCATGTAGATACCGCATTTTGTGTATCTATTCATTTGTTGATGGATATTACTGTATTCTGTCTGCTTTCTATACCCGATGAGAGATGCGTTAGGGCAAAGATGTAATTGTGGTCACGGATGTGTCCCCATTCCCTCAAATCATGCCTAGCACACAGTGGGTTTTTAATATGTATTTGTAGAATAAATAAAATCGGATGGAATCTCCTGTTCTCACTACCAATAGAAGAATCACAAGAGTAAAGACTTACAGAGTTGATTACGTTACAATTTCTGCACCATAAAAAATAAAAGTAAAATTTATAGGAAATCTTGACAAACAAGGTCAAGGAATTAAAAGCGACAATATATAGAGTTCTTCAAAGCTTTAAGAAAAGCATAATAACCCTCATAGACAAAAGGGTAAAGAATATGGATAGGACACTTGTAGAAGAAACACATAAAGTATCACATGGAAAAATGATCAGTTTTAGTAATAATCAGATATGTAAATTAAAGCAACTTTGAGAAACCAATGCTCTCACACACTTGTTGTTTTTAGGTGCCATCTAGTCAGTTCTGACTCATAGTGACTCTATGTACAACAGAACGAAACACTGCCTGGTCCTGCACCATCCTCACAATCATTGCTGTGTTTGAACCCATTGTTGCAGCCACCATGTCAATCCATCTTGTTGAGCGTCTTCCTCTTTTTCACTGACCCTCTGTTTTACCAAGCATGGTGTCCTTCTCCAGGGTCCCTCCTGATAACATGTCCAAAGTACGTGAGACAAAGTCTTGCCATCCTCCCTTCTAAGGAGCTTTCTGGCTGTACTTCTTCCAAAACAGATGTGTTCCTTCTTTCGGCAGTCCATGGTATATTCAGTATTCTTCACCAACACCATAATTCAAATGCATCAATTCTTCTTTGGTCTTCTTATTCATTGTCCAGCTTTCACATGCATATGAGGCTATTGAAAATACTATGGTTTGGGTCAGAAGCACCTTAGTTCTCAAGGTGATATCTTTGCTTTTTAACACTTGAAAGAGGTCTTTTGCAGCATATTTGCCCAATGTAATATGTCATTTGATTTCTTGACTGCTGCTTCCATGGACATCGATTGTGGATCCAAGTAAAATGAAATCCTTGACAACTTCAGTCTTTTCTCTGTTTATCATGATTTGCTTATTGGTTGAGTTGTGAGGATTTTTGTTTTCTTTATGTTGAAGTGTAATCCATACTGAAGGCTGTAGTGTTTGATCTTCATCAGTAAGTGCTTCAAGTCCTCTTCACTTTCAGCAAGCAAGGTTGTGTCATCTGCATAGTACAGGTTGTTAATGAGTCTGCCTCCAATCCTGATGCCCCATTCTTCTTCATATAGTCCAGCTGCTCAGATCATTTTCTCAACATATAGCTTGAATAAGTATGGTGAAAGGATACAACACTGAAGCACACCTTTCCTAATTTTAAACTATGCAGTAACCCCTTGGTCCACATACAGGCTCTGCATGAGCACAATTATGTGTTCTGAAATTCCTATTCTTCTTAACGATATCCATAATTTGTTATGATCCACATAGTCGAATGCTTTTGCATAGTCAATAAAATGCAGGTAAACGTCTTTCTGATATTCTCTGCTTTCAGCCAGGATCTATCCAACATTAGCAATGATATCCCTCATTTCAGATTCTCTTCTGGCAGTTCCTTGTCGGTGTACTGCTGCAACCATTTTTGAATTATCTTCTGCAAAATTTTACTTGTGTGTGATATTAATGATATTGTTCAATAATTTTTGCATTCTGCTGGATCACCTTTCTTTGGTATGGGCACAAATACATATCTCCTCCAGTTGGTTGTCCAGGTAGCTGTCTTCCAAATTTCTCGGCATACAACAGTGAGCACCTCCAGTGCTGCATCCCTTTGTTGAAACGCCTCAATTGGTATCTTGTCAATTCCTGGAGTCTTGCTTTTCACCAATGCCTTTGGGCAGCTTGGACTTCTTCCTTCAATACCATTGATTCTTGACCATACGCTACTTCCTGAAATGGTCGAACATCGACTAATTCTTTTTGGTACAGTTACTCCGTGTATTCCTTCCATCTTCTTTTGATACTTTCTACATCATTCAATATTTTACCCATAGAATCCTTCAATATTGCAACCCAAGATTTGAATTTTTTCTCAGTTATTTCAGCTTGAGTGTTGCCAAGCATGTTTTTCCCTTTTGGTTTTCTAACTCCAGGTCTTTGCACATTTCATTACAATACTTTGTCTTCTTCAGCCACCGTTTGAAATCTCCTGTTCAGCTCTTTTACTTCATCATTTCTTCCATTTGCTTTAGGTATTGTACATTCAAGAGCAAGTTTCAGAGTCTCTTCTGACATCCATTTTGGTCTTTTCTTTCTTTCTTGTCTTTTTAATGACTTGCTTTCTTCATGTGTGATGTCTGTGATGTCATTCCACAACTCACCTGTCTTCAGTCATTAGTGTTCAATGTGTCAAATCTTGAGATGGTCTCTAAATTCAGTTAGGATATACTCAAGGTTGTACTTTGGCTCTCATGGACTTGTTTTAATTTTCTTCAGCTTCCACTTGAACTTGCATATGAGCAACTGCTGATCTGTTTTGCAGTCGTCCCCGGGCATTGTTCTGACTAATGATATTGAGCTTCTCCAGCGTATTGTCGCACACTATCAGATGTGATACTAAGGCTGTTATGAAACAGTCACTCTCACACCTGCAATACCATCTGTAATTTAGTACTGGGAGGTAAAAAGGCAACATGTATCCAGCCAGTAGGAGTCCCTGGGTGGGGCAAATGGCTAGGTGCATAGCTACTAACCGAAAGGTTGTTGATTTGAATCTACCCAGTAACACCTTATTATTTGAAAGAAAGACCTGGTGACTTACTTCTGAAAGATCATAGCCATTGAAAACCCTATGGAGCACTCTTCTACTCTGAAACACACACAGGGTTGCCATGAATCAGAATCAACTCAATGGTAACTGGCTTGGTTTGGTTTATCCAGCCAGTGGGGTGAGGGACCAGTTGCACCTACTTGCAGGACCTGAGTGCGCACATCTCTCTCCAGCTCC